TCTCTGATGTTTGCTAACAGTCCCACTCATAAGTTGACTCTGAAATGTCTGTTTTTTTTTTTTGGTTTTTTTTTACACTAAAATGCCGTAACTGCTGGTGACTGTATAAGTTGTAATCATACCCACATTTCATCACAGGAGTTTAATATCCATTCTGTTTTTTATTTCAGTTTATAAATTCATACCTTAGTTTCTTTATAACACTTATATTGCTTTTTCTTAGATTTTAGGTGAGGTTGTTTAATTTAACTATATTTCAACAAGTGGTTGCTATTTAATATCAAATATATATAAGTCCTATTGGACAAAAATCACAATAGTTATTTAGATCAAGTTTACCCATGAGTCAAAAGGTCAGATTTATACCAGATTCTTCAACTACGCGCCCAAAAGTTGACCCCCTCCCCACTTTTTTGGTAGGGTTCACCCAGCATGCAAATTAAAGTTTCGAAAAGCCAAAATAAAAAGCAGTACAACGATTTAAATATCAAGAAAGTGTTTTGAAAAATGCAGCACAAAAATCCTAACAGCGCATCAAGATAGTGAAAGATGCCTTTCAAAAGCTAAGGAAATATTAATAAACAGGAAGAGTTTTCTAGAAACAAAGAAAACAATACTGAACTGTTATGTAATATAAGTCCTCCTATATGGTAGTGAATGCTGGACAATCTCTTTATAGATGAAGAAAAGACTTGAGGCAACAGAAATGTGATTCTACAGTAGGATGTTGAGAATAACATGGACCGAACATGACAAAGTTTTATAGAAAATGAAACAAAAAGGAGAATTATACTTAGCACCAGAAAGAGAATGTTGAAATTTCTAGTGTACATAATGAAGAAAGAAAGCTTGAAGAAGTTGATACTCACAGGACGGAATGAAGGCAAGAGAGAGTGGGGATAACAACACATAACCCCTACCTAACGAAATAGAGTAAATGGATGTCCAAAAAAGGTTTAGGAGAAATAATAAAGAGGAAAAATTTATTCAGAGCTATAAAGGAAAGAAAATTGAGGAGAGCCATAATTGTCAATCATCTGAAGGGTCAAGGCACATAGAAGAAGACATACACCTTTGCATCGTATGCAGTCTGTGCATATTTAACATTTCCCCTCTCAGAGTGTATCTTTCTTTTAAATACTCTTGTTTTTAATCAGGATCAACTCAAGCAAGGTAATACAGCAATTAAGACAAAAAAGACAGAGTGTGAAGGAACTAGGAACAGAAACATTAGTAATGAGTAAAAAGAGAAAAGAGCAATCAGGAGGACAGGAGATACGCATTGACATTGCATTTAAAGTTTTGCAGATTAAAGTTGGTTGGAAAGCATGGAGCGAAAAGGGAATTCCTTAAGTGCAAGAAAAAAAATCTGTTAGCATAGAAGTTATGGTTACATCTAGCCAGCTCAAATGTAAATTGATAAGATCTTGCTGCCAGTCTAGTATTGCGATTAATGCAGTCTAGGTACCATAGCAAAGAGCTCATCTGAACAATTACCATGAAAGTATTTATAAAAAAAGGCACAGAGAAGCAATCTTATGGCAGTGGGCAAGTGACAGAAGCTGTGACAGGACCAATAAATTTGCTGATTTTTCTTTGGATCTTATCAAGGAGCTTCACGTACATTCAGTCGTGACAATGTCCGAAAAAGCTGACGTTTCTAATCTTTATTTTCAATGCTCTCATATTTTATCTATCATTACTTAACATTGCTTTGTCTGGCACGAGATCAAGGGTTTTTAATCACAACTTGTGTTTCATAGCGTTCATGTAACTTAAATACTGACCACATTTGACACTTGATATTTCATCACCAGGAATATGTTGTTTTTCTTCCTTAATGTAACATCAGTTCTCATACGATCACCAAAGTTAAGCAATGTCAAACTTGGTCGTACTTAGACGAGTGACTGGTTGGTAATACCAGGAACTTTAAGCTAAAATGCTCCTGCAATGTAATGGATAATGCCTCTGAATGTGAAATCGGAGGACTGAGTTCCAATTCCAGTTGGGTTTGTTTTATTAATTATTATATTATATGCAATTATCCTTGTGAAAGTTATGAATTCACCTTTCCCCTCAGCTATGGGTTAATTAGTAGTAGTCTTATTATCTTCAAGAATTTTTTAGAATCTAAAAATGTTTTTTAAATTACCTGAAAAAGATTGATAAAGTGTAAGAAAAAAAAAATTAATCAATCAATCTTCTTCAATGTATTGATGTACATCTAAATGGAGAACTGGTAAATATTTATAACACAGAAATTGAACTCATAGTTTCCAAAGAACCAGATAAAAGTTTATGTACTAGGTCCTGTCATGTAATTTGGGCATTAATATTCGCTACTTTAAATCTAATGCATTTTTAGTACTTAAAAAACTTTAAATCTTAAGTATGTTTAATTTAATATAATTTTATTACTTTAAAGCTATTTTTGATACCTTAAATATATTATATTTTGGTACTTGAAATTTAATATATTTTTTTACTTTGATGTTTTTGTACTATGTAAATCTAATTTGTCTTTAAAATATTTAAAACAAATATATTTGTTAGTTTAAATGTAATATTTTTCATATTTTTATTTTAAATCTAATGTATTTTTATATTTAAATTTATTTTTGGTATTTAAATATATATCCAGTGCTGTAATGTAATTTATTTTTCCATATTTTCTATATTTTACATCTGTTTTCACTACTTTAAATCTAGTTCATTTTTGGTACTTAAGTCTAATATATTTTTAGTACTTGAAATATATTTTTGTATTTTCAAAGTGATATATTTTCCATACTTTACGCCTATTTTTATTACTTTAAATCGACTATTTTTTGCTCTTATCTTTTTAGTATTTTAATTCTAATATATTTTTGGTACTTTTGAGTGGGCCTGTTAGCAAACCTCAGAGATAGAAAATGAGAAAGAAAGAAATAAGAGACAGGGCTAACTGTTCGATGAAGTAGAGTTAAAATTTGTATCTAGTTTTCTAATATATTTTTGGTACTTTTAATAGAATTTGGCAAATTAAATCGTTTACTATATTAATAAGGAGAAATATTTTGTGAGATTACCTTCTTAAACTTTCACTTCTTGTCACGAGAGAAATAAATGTTTATAAAAACTGTCAATTCTTTGGTTTCTTAAGGATGAAATATTCACAAGATGGAATAGGATTCAAATTATTTTGATCAAGCAATGTCATTTATAATTCTTTCATGATAATTTCTTTTGTTTTTCATCATCAGTAACAAGCTTTCAAAGATAAAGTATATTAGTTTGAGTTATTTATCAGATCATTACAAAAGTTTGTCCCCAATTTTCATTTTTAATATAAAATGATCGAAACTTGACACTGGCGTTTGTTTTGGTAATATCTGGTGTGTTCTTGATTGAAATTTTACATTTGTTCTAGATTGAAATTTTAATTGTGTTCTAGATTGAAATTTTACATTTGTTCTAGATTGAAATTTTACATGTGTTCTAGATTGAAATTTTACATTTGTTCTAGATTGAAATTTTACATTTGTTCTAGATTGAAATTTTATATTTGTTCTAGATTGAAATTTTACATTTGCTCTTGATTGAAATTTTAATTGTGTTCTAGATTGAAATTTTACATTTGTTCTAGATTGAAATTTTACATTTGTTCTAGATTGAAATTTTACATTTGCTCTTGATTGAAATTTTACATTTGTTCTAGATTGAAAATGTTTTAGATATTTACATGTGTTCTTGATTGAAATTTTACATTTGTTCTAGATTGAAATTTTACATGTGTTCTAGATTGAAATTTTACATTTGTTCTAGATTGAAATTTTACATGTGTTCTAGATTGAAATTTTACATTTGTTCTAGATTGAAATTTTACATTTGCTCTTTGAAATTTTAATTGAAAGATTGAAATTTTACATTTGTTCTAGATTGAAATTTTACATGTGTTCTAGATTGAAATTTTACATTTGCTCTTGATTGAAATTTTACATTTGTTCTAGATTGAAATTTTATATGTATTCTAGATTGAAATTTTACATGTGTTCTTGATTGAAATTTTACATTTGTTCTAGATTGAAATTTTATATGTGTTCTAGATTGAAATTTTTGTTTCTTGATTGAAATTTTATATTTGTTCTAGATTGAAATTTTACATTTGTTCTAGATGTGTGTTCTAGATTGAAATTTTACATGTGTTCTTGATTGAAATTTTACATTTGTTCTAGATTGAAATTTTATATGTGTTCTAGATTGAAATTTTACATGTGTTCTTGATTGAAATTTTACATTTGTTCTAGACTGAAATTTTATATGTGTTCTAGATTGAAATTTTACATGTGTTCTTGATTGAAATTTTACATTTGCTCTTGATTGAAATTTTAATTGTGTTCTAGATTGAAATTTTACATTTGTTCTAGATTGAAATTTTATATTTGTTCTAGATTGAAATTTTACATGTGTTCTTGATTGAAACTTTACATGTGTTCTAGATTGAAATTTTACATTTGTTCTAGGTTGAAATTTTATATTTGTTCTAGATTGAAATTTTACATGTGTTCTTGATTGAAATTTTACATTTGTTCTAGATTGAAACTTTATATGTGTTCTAGATTGAAATTTTACATGTGTTCTTGATTGAAATTTTACATGTGTTCTTGATTGAAATTTTACATTTGCTCTAGATTGAAATTTTAATTGTGTTTTAGATTGAAATTTTACATTTGTTCTAGATTGAAATTTTACATTTGTTCTAGATTGAAATTTTACATGTGTTCTAGATTGAAATTTTAGATTTGTTCTAGATTGAAACTTTATATGTGTTCTAGATTGAAACTTTATATGTGTTCTAGATTGAAATTTTACATTTGCTCTAGATTGAAATTTTAATTGTGTTCTAGATTGAAATTTTACATTTTATTTTAAACTTTAAAAAATGTATTATGGTTTTTAATAGTATATTTTTCATGATTTCATTTGTGTGTGTGTGTGTGTGTGTTTTTTTTTTCAAGGGAGCCAAAAAGATTCATCACAAAGTTAACACCATCCAGTGACCCAGAAATTTCTGTGACACCGCAGGAAGGGGAATTTAATCAACCCCATACTCGAGGGACTTGTTTCAGTGTACATTATAATCCAACATCATATGGACAGAAGAAATATGCAGTTGTCTATATACAGGTAAAAAAAAAAACAAAAAAACAATTTTGAAAGACGCATTTTTTTCTTTATCTCATTTTCGGGATCGGTTTGTATTTTTCAACACCTTTTATGGACAGTTGAATATCTAAAATAGAGTATTATATATAAAAAAGATTATTTTAAGACATTTTTATGTTTATACATTTTTTTTATAGATACAAATATTTAAGTAAATGCTCTGTTTATAATAAACAGTATTAAAGAACATTTACCGGCCTGAATGTCCGAGAAATTTTCACAGAAATTCAAGCCGGTAAATGTTGTTTAATACTGTTTATTATAAACAGAGCATTTACTTAAATATTTGTATCTATAAAAAGAATGTATAAACATAAAAATGTCTTAAAATAATTGTCGAACTGTCCATTTCATAATGCGTGACGTCATTTGTTTACATTTGATACGCTATAACCAGATATGAATGTACGTGAGAGATTCATAGAAGATTGCAGTTTAAAGACAGTAAATTCGACCTTGCTAACCGAACGCTCCTTCGTGGCCAAGTCGGTTAAAGGCACGTCAGGCTAAATGACGGTTCCGTATAGGATACAGGTTCGAATATTATATTTTCTGTGAAAAAACTGCTGTCAATTGTAGAAACCTCCTGACTAGTGAAGTGAATAATTACAATACGATTTATATACGAAACAACAGTGTCGAAGTGCTGAATATAACATCAATCAGCGAAATGACACATCTTATATTTGGATTAATCCGAATATATAGATGTGTGTGTGTGTGTAGAAACATAAGTAATGCGGACACAGAATTTAACACCGAATAGAAACAGTCTGTTTCATGTTTGATCGCAATATTCAGGACATCCTGAGGTTGCGTTCAAACATGAAACACACTATCACCATTCGATTGCTTATATTTACATACATTCTATTCCGGATATTGATCATTTTACCCTGTAAATATAGCATACCTTAAAAAACTATATTCTGTGTCGTCACTGGGGTAATAAGTCAGGCAAACCTTGACACTTTCCAGCTTTTGCTTTCTTAAGGAATGGACCAGATGAGTTGTTCATTACCAACCAGTAGAGGAAGTTATACGTATTCATGCTATACCGTCGGCGGAAAGTGAGAGAAAGTAATCAGAAGCAGAGGATTAACATCAAGTGTTGTGTAAAAACCGGTAAAAGTGTGCTTGAAATGTTAGCCCTATACAACTGGCTTATGGTGAACATGCTATGAAGAAATGAAATGTTTGGGTGGCACAGATGGTAAAAGGAAAAGTTAGGAGAGGTGAATGATGGCGCAAGAAGTAAACAGTCTGAAAACCCATGTAGCAGATACAACAGTGTCTGAAACTTCATAAATTCAAACCGAAAATTAAGTGTGCGGCTGATAGCAGTGGAACTGTAAATGAACAGGAAAAACAGAACGGTAGATTCTAATAGAGTATTTGGGAATGAGGAAATTTTCATCGAAGATGGTGGTTAAAAATCTTAACAATTTAATTCCTGTAATGGCTTTGGGAAAGAAAAGATTGTTTGCCTGATCACTTTCGCCTGCCATCACCTTGAAAATAATCGTCTTGGGAAGTTAGAGATGATAGTGTCCAGGTAAGAAGACTTTCCTTTCTCAGAGGTATTTAAGGAATTATTTGCTATTTTAATTAGTTTTTTTTTTTTTTAACTTTTAACCCCAAGAAAGGTAATAAAGCCACTAAGACACATAGAGGATACTGAGAGTGAAGGAAAGTGAGAAAACGATACTGAAGAGAAAGGACAATAAAAAGAACATGACTCTAGGTGACAGATGATGATGATTGACGTTTTATTTAATTCTTTGAAGATTCTACTTGACAGGTAAGTAAGAAGCCGGAAAAGAGTTCCACAGGTGTGATGTGCAAGGGAAGAATGTATTAAAATAGAAAATACGGTTTTTAGCAATTTCACCAATAAAATGATGAATCTTAACTGCCAATCTTCATCTAAATTCCCACCTAGTTTACTCACGCTGGTTTATGCAGGTGCTTTTCTCAATTTAATTCTTTTAAAAAAAAAAACATCTGAGTCTATGCAGATCTTCAATGTGATTATTGACAGTAAAATTTTTTGTTCTGATCGTTGAGGTTTATGTATATTAAAATGTGGTCACCATTATTTTATCTCAAAATGCAATGACGGTCATTGTTTATGTTTTCCCTTTCGCCTTGCAGACTGACAAGTTACAATGGACATACAGTATCGAAGCCAGCTTACCTCAGTACAAACCACCAGTCGGCAAGTCTTTATATTCCAAAGACAGTCTTCAGCCACTTACCAAGAAGAAATTTCCGTTCACCAACTTCATATCGGAAAACAGACAGATAACAACCACAGGCGTGTCATCACCGATTAAAGGCGCGCCAATTCTGAAGAAATGGAAGCACAAAAAACGCAAAAAATGAAGTCATAAAGATTTTAGCGTTTTTTCATTTGTTGCCTTTATTTTCAAGTCACTGTAAACACGAAATAGTATTTAATCTATGCTCTCTCTCCCTGCCTCCTCCCTCTCTCTCTCTCTCTCTATATATATATATATATATATATATATATACACAAGGAAATAATAATATATATATATATATATATATATATATATATATATATATATATATATACACAAAAAGGAAAGTTACATACACAATCTCTCTCTCTCTCTCTCTATATATATATATATATATATATATATATACACAAGAAAGTTACATACATATATATATATATATATATATATATATATATATATATATATATATATAACAAGGAAAGTTACACAATATAATATATATATATATATATATATATATATATATATATATATATATATATAAACAAGGAAAGTTATATATATATATATATATATATATATATATATATATATATATATATATATATATAAACAAGGAAAGTTATATATATATATATATATATATATATATATATATATATATATATATATATATATATATATAAACAAGTTACATACAATATATATATATATATATATATATATATATATATATATACACCCAAGTATAGGATTGGTGTATATGGAATAAATTCTAATAAATAAAAAATACTATTCTTAAAAGAATTCTCAAAAGAGTAGAGAAAATATAATTTATTCGAAAATTAAAACATAAATGTATTATAAAATCACTACAAAATAGCCATTTTGTTTTAACACTTCTGGTGTCATATCAAGTGATGATGTTGAACGCTATATTTAGTGGGTAGACATGTTTGAGTAGAACAGTGTAATTAAATATATATATATATATATATATATATATATATATATATATATATATATATATATATATTATCCCTCATAGATAGCACAATATAATCTTTAGGTGCTGAGTATAGTATAAATTGACTGTTACGTAATTCAAATTTAAAAAATAGCTGGTTGTCACCAATTGATGCAGTTATTTATTATAATGGGATTACAGTTTGTACTTTTATAAATATATTTGACATTTAAAATAAGCGGGATATATATATATATATATATATATATATATATATATATATATATATATATATATATGAAGAATTTATTTTAGATTTGTGAATATTATTTTTTTATTTTTTATTTTAAGCATAAAAGGAGATTACTTGTTATTTAAGATTTTTATGCCTACATGTAATCATCATTTCATTTCTCTTGTTTAATATGCTCGGGTTATTTAAGTGTTTTATGCTAACTCATTTTCAAAAGGACATAAGTTACATCTATTTCCTTTCGCATTGTAAGATTTGGCTCATGCTACGATATCAAAGGTGATAAAAGGTGCATCGCCGTCATTCATTAATTACCAGAAATATTTAGAGTAGTGCTGTTTTAGTATTGCCTATATTTGATTAGCATAAAAACGAAATCTCCAAGGATTTCCAATGGAACTAAATTAAAATTTAGCATCGTTACCGGAATGTATGCTAACTTGCTATACAATATTATCAGTAATACATTCTCTGTTTATGGGACAGATCATATTTATTCAGCATTTCCATGTATTTACAAAAAAAATAAAATAAAAATAAGGTGTTTGTTGGAAATTTGTTTAATATATTGTTATATGTTGTTTACATGTAAACATTTAAATATGTTTACATGTTACATGTAAACATGTAGATATGTTGTTTATATGTTACATGTAAACATAAAAATAAATATATGCTTAAATACATTGATTCAGATTAACATTTAATTTAATGTAAATTAAGTCTTTTTAAGAACAAGTCATCTCCCATCATTTTTTTATATATTCACACCTCTAAAAGATTTATTCTACACCCACCCACACACACATATATATATATATATATATATTGTGTATTTAGGCAACAACCCCTCTTTTATACATGTTTTGCTGAAGACGACTGACAAAGATTTTTATTTTATTTGTCTTGTGTTCGTCCAAATGTTTTCTTTTCGGGACACAAAATGTGTAAAAACTGTCCAAATGTTCTGCATTTCCAAACGCTTTTGGCTCTACATTTAGAATGTTTATTCACAAACGTCTCTACTGATAAAAGCATTGACATTATCCTTAACTCCGTGTACACAAACAATTCTATCCCACCTACACCCATCAAACCTAATATCCTCAAAAAATTATTACATGCATTGAGAACCAACGTCCCCGTGTACAACCATAATGGCAACATATACACATAAACTAACGGTGTTAGTATGGAAAATTCACTCAGCCCGCGTTTTTTCAATTACTACATGTCCTACATTAAAAAAAAACATGAAAACTAAACCCAAAATATATGTCCGATATTTTTATTATAGCGAAAAACACACAAGAAATAAATACTCTCAAAACCACATTTGAAAAAAAACAAACTCTGTAACAACATTTTCACCATCTCATTTTATAAAAGCCCCACTAGCAGAAACTCTTGTCACCTTAATTTTAAGAATGAATGCCCACTTACATACAAAAAATTGCTAAAGAGAGCAGACGAGAATTCATCCTCTCGTCTACTTTTCCTTAAATAACTCAACAATGCAAAACAGACGCTAGTTAACAATGGTTTTCCTAACTACCTCATCGATCACCAGATTTGACTATTTCTTCTTTCCAAAGTAAATAATAACGATACTGAATACACAGACAAAAACAATAACATAAACATCTACAAAAGCAAAATGCAGGTCAATTATAAGAAAGATGATTCTTCACTTAGAAATATCATAAAGAAATACACTATCCCATTTGAGCCGGACAAAAATTTAAATTATCTACTATAAAAGATTTAAATGAGCTAATTTTATCCTAAAAAATAACAGCTCACCTGCAAAATGAAAACTACAAAGAATCAACCTTATTTATGAGTGCAAATGCCCCTTAAGAAACTGTGTTCCTGATCAAATCAAACTCATAAATAATTACATTGGTCACACTACTACATGCCTATCCAGATGATTTACATTACAACTATCCAACAACAGCTCCATTAGAACTCATTTAAACAGACATACAAATCAACCAGACTCTATCCGAAACATAAAAGTAGAAGATACAAGAATAATAACCTCATAAGCGTTCGAAATTTTAGAACATTTGGGCATTTTTTACACATTTTGCGTCCAGGAAACAAAACACTTCTTCGAACATAAGAAAAATTAAATAAAAACCTTAATCGCACTACCTTGTCTGTTATATTTAATGAAACAGTTAATGAAAAGTTACGAATATATATATATATATATATATATATATATATATATATATATATATATATACACACATATATATATGCATACACACATGCATATATATACGTATATATACACACACATATATATACATACAGCGACCCCCATATATATATATATATATATATATATATATATATATATATATATATATATATATATAAAGACCAAAAATAAAAAACAACAGGATTTTTCCAACCATGTAACAACAAAAGGAGCCTATATTGTAACCACATTAGACATACTAATTCGTTCACTAGCTCATCACTAAATCTGCTTTCAAAATCTACCACAACTCTACCTGTAAAAATCATATCATGATTTACCGATTAGAATGCACACTATGCCAGAAACAACATGTGGGAAAATGTGTATGCCCGTTTCACTACAGAATTAATAATTATCGGAAGCGGATCAAGTCGGCTCCATACGAATGATTATTACCTGTAGAACAACATTTACGCCTAGAAGAACATGATTTTAAAAGCAATGCAAAATTCACTATAATTAAAAAAAAATAGAAATAGACACAAAAGATAACCTTAGAAAAATACTAGAAGTACATGAAGACAAATGGATTTTGCGCCTCAAAACACTTCATCCAGACGGGCTTAACCACAAGTTTAACAACACAGATAGAATTAATATATAACCCCCTAAATCAAGTCCTAGGCACATTTCTCACCCAAACAAGACAGAAATGCTTGCAGAGGTGTTGAGGTCTCGCACTTATACAAATATATACATCACACACACTCCCCCAAAACTAAAAGATAACATACACTTAACACAAACATCCCATTCCTAGCAACCAATAAAACTGTCAAAATGACCAAGGAGGGAATTCTGACAGACATAAATCTCGCATGCTCTATCTTAAAAAACAACTTGAAAGAGATCGTTTAATCAACAAAAGAACTGACCAAAATGAATGATAAAAAACAATGAGAACTATAGATAAAGCTCACTTTCTTCAGAAATTCCCTATATATATATATATATATATATATATATATATATATATATATATATATTTGTGTGTGTATGTCTGTGTAAAAGTTCAGAAATAAAAATGTATCTTTTAAAGAAAATAACTAATAAAATAAAGGAGATGAAAACCCTCTAGGCTAAAACGTTTCTTTCCTTCAGGCAGCAGTGTAATCAACTAAAAGCGCGTTGAAGAAAAAGAAAAGACACCCAACATTCACAATTGTCACTCACCCATTAATACCATTCCAATTTGGCACTCTGTGATACCTATTACTGAAGTTGCTGCGAACAGTAAAATTCAGAATTCTTTCGTAATGGATGGAATGAAAATGTATATCGAACTTCTGGAATATTTTCTAGTTGTAAATGATTGAGAAAAATATAATTAACAAGAAAAAATAAAATGACTTGATACCAGCTTCTGGTGCAAAATTAATTTCATAGGATTAGAAATCTTTTCACTCAAATTTCGTAATATTGAAGGGAAATTTTCTTAATATTTATATCAAGTTTTATTAGTCTATCTGGCTTAAAATTTGTTTCATAAGTTTGATTTTACTTTTCAAAGCTTTCTATTTTGAAGAGGAATGGTCTTCACTTTGATAACAGTTTCATTATTTGATCTGGTCTGAAATCTATTTCATGGGATCGGCGCTGTTCCTTTTGAATTAAATCTCGTAT